CAAGCAATAAACTTAACTCATAGGTCGTCCATTGAGTTGGGAATAAGGGTTATGAAGATAAAGCAGTATGTGCAGAGAATAAGGGGACTGGGCCTTGAGGGATGCTGTTTTAGAGAAGGTCCCCCTTGTAAAAGGGCAGAATGTTGAAGGCAAGAGGAATATGAAAGTACAAATGCTCCCAGGGAAAATTGTGAGAGCAAGATAGACCGCAAAGAGCTGTGAGGTGGACAGACCTGGTGGGAGATGAAAGGCAGAGTTAGGATCTTTGGGGACTTTATCATTAGGTTGTGGTAAGGACTTTGGATTTTACTCTGAGTAGGATGCAAAGTGTTGAGAGCGTTTGAGCAGAGGCATGATGTAATCTAATTGAACCCTTTGACTCTTGAGAAGAAAATAGACTGAGCCTGTGTTATACAGCAAGAGTAGAAGCAGGAGACTTTTGCAATTTTATTTCTAATTTCTTTAATTTCTAATGATTCAGCTGATAGAAGAGCATATATATCTGTTTCTTTTTTCTTTTCTTTTTTTTTTTAATTGCAGGGAAACCAGAGACAAGTGGCATTTAAACCACCTGGGATATTACTGACCCTTTTAAAACACCCAGCAGTTATTCAACAAATTGTATAAGCATGAATGTGGCTCTAGGGCTGTGCTGTTAAAATACAGTAGTCATTAGTCACATGTAGCTTTCAAATGTAAAGTAAGATCAAAAAACTCACTTCCTTGCTCATACTAGCCAATTTCAAGTATTTAATAGCCACTAGTGGCTAGTGACTGCTGTATGAAATTTCACAGATATAGAACATATATATTATTACAGATAGTTATTGGTCAGCCCTACTATAAGGGTCACTCGTGTAAATGTAAATATAGTACCCAGAGAATAAGTTATTAATGGTCTTAGCAAAATAAATTAAACTTGCTCATTTATGTATTGCTCATTTCAGTTTGTGCATGAGAAGGAAATTATGGCAGAAGATGATCAAGTATTTCTTATGAAGTTACAGGTATGAAATTGTATCAGAAGCAGACTTAATATAGTTAATGAATAAACTGTTCTTTTATGTATTTTAAAAATAAAGTGATACATGCTGTGAATGTCTAAACTAGGATTCTTTTGTTTTTTGTTTTTTAGTCCCTTTTAGCAAAGCAGCCACCAACTGCAGCTGGAAGGCCTGTGGTCAGTATTATAAATTTTGACATAATTA